CGCTCTCTTGCCACGAGGGGCTGTCAGCTTCTCTTCACTTGGAACCCGAGGTTCACCACCCCACCCGCTGCTCCCTTCACCAGGACGGACACTTTGGTGTTGACCGTCCCCACTGCAGCGTGAGTGACTTCAAGCGATGGAGAGAGGCGGGGAGCCCTGGTGGGCAGCGATCGCCCTGGGCCTGAGGCCTGGCACCTGGGCATGACGAATACCCGCTGTGACCTAGGAAGGCAGGAGGCCTTTCTGCAGCTCAGGAAAACACAGGCTCAAGGTAGAGGGACCCCACTAGTTACTGTCCTGAGGCCGGTCCCCACACGCAGGATTGCACTGCTGGTAGAGACTGTTGCATCACCTGGGCTGTTTTCTCTTCTTTTTTTGGTAATATTCCTTTAAGCTAAGCTAGCAGAGGGTAGTTACCCGACCTGTGAGTCGGGTGGCAACTTGCTGCAGATCCCCAGTGCCCGGATCTATTTATTACCGTCAGCTTTGAAGCAGCTGCCTGTAGGGAAACGCCGGCCAAATCCCTGAGGAACACGCTCAGGCCGAAAACACCAGGTCTAGGCTGGCCGGGGCTGAAGGACACGGACCTTTAAAATGAGACCCCCCTGCACTGCCTCGAGGTGTTTGCAGAGGACAGACAGCAAGTGGGGTGACCCGGGAGCAGCGGCCTGACTGGCCCCAGGAGCATTTGCTGACGTAGGGCAGACCACGGGAATAATTCAGGGGTCACTGTGTCAGAAAGGTGGTACAGACTGCGTTCTTTTTTGTTGTTGTTGTTAGTCCTCACCCGAGGATATTTTTCCACTGATTTTTAGAGAGAGTGGAAGACAGAGAGAAACATCGATGTGAGAGAAACACGTAGATTGGTTTTGCCTCTTGCACGAGCCCTGACCAGGGCCCAGGCCGGGGAGGAGCCTGAAACCATGGTACATGCCCTTGACTGGAATTGACCCTTTGGTCTGCAGGCCGACACTCTATCCACTGAGCCAAACTGGCTAGGGCACAGATTTCGTTCTATTGGCCTGACGGGTGTGGCTCAGTCGTTGAGCATCACCGTTTGATTCCTGGTCAGGGCACATGCCTGGGATGTGGGCTCCATCCCCAGTAGGGGGTGTGCAGGAGGCAGCTGATCAAAGATTCTCTCTCATCGTTGATGTTTCTATCTCTCTCGCCCTCTCCCTTCCTCTCTGAAATCAATAAAAATATATATATTTTAAAATTGATTTTAGAGAGACAGAGAGAGAAGCATTGATTTTCCACTTATTGATGCATTCACTGGCTGATTTTTGACTGGGGATCGAACCCACAACCTTGGCGTATCCAACTGATGCTCTAACCAACTGAGCTACCTAGCCAGGGCCAGATTTCTTTGTCTTTTTTTACATCTTGGTATAATTTTAGATTTACAGGAGAGCTGCAAAGGCAGAACCGAGAGCGTCCCTATGGACCCGTCACCTAGCTTCCCCCGGGCGAATGTCTTATGAAACCAGGACACAGTGATGGGAACTAAGGAATTAGCTGAACTACACCACACACGACAGACTTCATGTCGACGTCACCAGTTTCTCTAGAAATCCCGGTTCCCACTGCGTTTCGCCGTCGTGTCCCCTCCGGCCCCTCCCGTCGGTGACCGTTTCCCAGCCTTTTCTTGTTGCTCCAGATGGTTTGGAAGAGAACCAGCCAAGGCTTCTGCACAGATTCGCCGTGTTTGTGAACATCTGTTGGCGGAGTGGATCCGGCCTGCGAGGTACAGCAGACTCCGGCCTGCGGGGCGCATCAGGGGCTGCTGTTTCCGGGTGGCCCACGAGCTAGAAAGATGGCTTCTGCAGTTTTAAATGGTTGAAATAATAAAAAGAAGAAGACGGCTTTGTGATATGTGGGAATTCTCAGGAAATCCACACGTCCGTGTCCGCAGCTCCATCTGATCGGAACGAGGCCGCGGTCCTTCTTCCCCGAATGGCCGGTGGCTGCTTCGCCGCTGGCCCGGCGCAGGAGCTGAGCCACAGCCCATCTGCTGAGGGCGCCGCAGCATGTACTCCTCTCCGCCCTTGGCAGGGACCGGCTTCCCATCCCGATGCAGAGGCCCAGTGAGGACTGGCGTGCACTGCTGTTCAAAAGCCAAGTTGGCTCCTACAAGGGCACCGGAGCTTCCAGTTCCTTCACTTGGTCAGCCCACAGGTGGTTATCGAGGGCCCGCTGTCAAAACCAGCAGAGAGCGCTGACTGGTGGGAAAGCTCTGGGATTAGGAGAGGTTTGTTCTCTCCAAGTCTCAGGCACCGTGTCTGCCTGTCATAATAATAGCTGCTGTCCTATTTTAAGCGCTGCCTCCTGCCAGCAGCTCACTCTTCCATCGCACCATCTCCTTTAATCCTCACAACCACCCTGGGAGTCCGGCGTCCCCGGAGGAAACTGAGGTTTGAGAGATGAGCTGCACCCAAGGGTGCCCAGGAGCGAGTACAGAGGAGAAGCAGAAAACCATGTGGGAGTTTTTGACGCCTGCGTGGGAGGGGGGCTGGGAGTCTGCGGTGGAAAGTGGGGTTTGTGGGGGCGGCTCATGGCGGTGCCGGGGAGACCACTGCTATTCTACATGCCCCTGAACTCTGCAAGCCACAAACTGGGGTGGGTCGGTCAGCAGCCAGGGGCCCCATCTGAAATAGTATTCTGCTTTCAGAGGGCCATCCCCGCGTGCTTTTTGGTGCTCTTTGTCCTCTGCAAGCACCTCGAGGCAGTGCAGGGGGGTCTCATTTTAAAGGTCCGTGTCCTTCAGTCCCGGCCAGCCTAGACCTGGTGTTTTCAGCCTGAGCGTGTTCCTCAGGGATTTGGCCGGCGTTTCCCTACAGGCAGCTGCTTCATAGCTGACGGTAATAAATAGATCCGGGCGCTGGGGCTCTGCAGCAAGTTGCCACCCGACTCATAGGTCGGGTAACTACCCTCTGCTCGCTTAGCTTAAAGGAATATTACCAAACAGGCTTGATGTACGAGCCCAACAGTCCTGTCTCCAATCTCCTTCCTCCCTTTCTGGCATCGCTGCTCTGCCACCCACACGGCTGGCGAGTCTGAGCTCTCTGCTCACTTGGGGGGCGGGTGCCCTTGGATGGCTGTCCTTCCTGCCCACTACCTGCGTGGCCCGGGACGGGAGGGGGAGAGGCCCTCCCGGGGCTGAGTGCACCGCGCTGCTCTGCGCTGGTCAGACAAGTTGAGAGACAGCAGGACCAAAGGGCCTGCAGAAAGGAGCCCCGAAGGTGAGAAAGGGCCCCACAGGCCGGGCTGGGCTGGGAGCGGAGTGGGAAGTCATTGACTCAGATCTTGCTGTCCCGGGATATTTTGGCAAGGACCGCACGCTGACTTAGAGACACGGGAAGCTGGCTCAGAGCAGGGGGCGTGGCTCAGCCTGGGTGCGACAGTGGCCCAGCCACGGTGGGTCCAAGTGGTCCCTGGTCGGTTCTGCTGAAGACAATTACCCCAATATGTGCCGTCGATAAGAACAAAATCAGAGTGCGCCGGGCTCGGTGAAAGAGGCCTCTGGTGCATCTGATGGGGCTCCGTGGTTGAGCGTCAACCTATGAACCAGGTCTCAGGTTTGATTCCCGGTCAGGGCACATGCCCGGGTTGCGGGCTCCATCCCCAGTGGGGGGCGTGCAGGAGGCAGCCGATCCATGATTCTCTCTCATCATTGATGTTTCTCTCTCTCCCCCTCTCCCTTCCTCTCTGAAATAAATTAAAAAAAAAAAAAAAGAAAGAAAGAGAAAGAAGCCTCTGGTGTCTAGACTGCATCCAATTCTGAGTTGTTGTTTTAAGAGAACAAGTCATTTGGGGTTTCCTGTTCCCTAAAATGTCCCTGAGAACTTTCTAACTGGCTTGCTGTTTGGTAATATGTCTCTGAAGCCCTCAGCAGCTGCAAAATTGATCCACAGAACTTGTTTTTTGTTTTGTTTTAAGAACAAAATGTGAGCTAGCACTGGTGACACGACGAGACGCTGTCCGACGGTTCCAGTCTGCGGTCCAGGTGGGCGCCAGGCAGCGGGGAAGGCTCTGCACACACAGCCCCGGCGCCCAGCACAGAGCACCCGGGCAGGGCTCCGAAGCGCTGCCCGCCAGGCTAGTTCCCCGGGGAAGGGCCTGGTCCGGGTGGGAGGCGTGCTGGACTGCGCATGTGTCGGGGACGACATCGGGCACATCTGCCTGAAAAGGGAGACCTCCTAACTGAGGACAAAACTCTAAAACCAGACCCTAACTTCCACCTGTTTACGCAACGATGGCACTTATGGCACTTCCTTTTTAAGGTCAAAACACCGCTAAAAACGCAGTGTGTTCCCTCAACAGCCCCTGAGCTGGGGGGCTGGCCCGCTTTTTGCCTTCTGCGTGTGAGGTGGCGGCGGACCCCCCAGGCCGGTGTCTGCTGTGTGTGGGGGGCAGGGCGGCCTGTGGTTGCGGGTCCAGGTGCAGCGCACACCGGGTTCTGGGCCTTTTGCATTCTCTCTGACAGTTGCCACCGGAGTTCAGCATGGCCAGTGGTGCTCTTCACAACCGCCACGCACAGCTGCCTGGGTGTTTTGCTGATGAGAAGCCGTGAGCGAGAGACTCCCGGGGGCCAGGAGCACCCCCACCCCAGCCTGACAGCAGGCGGGGGCGGTCCCATCCACATTGGGCCACAGTAGGCCGGGGGGGGGGCCCAGCGGGCATTTGTGGGGAAGGGAATAGGTCACCCGTGTCCCTAGGAAGGCCTGCTGCGGGCTGAGGCCTCCTGGGGACCCCACCACCTCCTGCTCCCCATCCAAACCCTCTGCAGCAGCCTTGCCTTGCTTGTCATGCCTCCACCCACTTGTCTGTTTCAGAAACAGTGGAACGTCCAACTTGGTGAATCCCACTGCTTAACAGAAATTTGCTTTTAATTTAATGCCTACATGTTTTAAAGACTGGCATGGGGGTAGGGAAACATGGGCAAGTACTGCCTCTTGGAGGGAAAAAAAACCCTCCCCCCACACAAAGTCCTTTGTCCCTCAGACATCCCCTGCACCCTCGCTGACCTCAGCATCTTGTCCGAAACCCGGTGAAATGGTCAGGCCCAGGATGTCCGTGACGAATATTTCCGCCGTGATCTCCTCCGGGAGCTCCTCTTCCCAGCGCACTTCCGGCCCTGATGGACAAGAGAACGCACGTGTCTTCCCAATGATTGGGCTTCTGCCGCGAGAGCGTTTTCCCAGAAATGCAAGGAAGCAAAACTCAGAGGGGACAGGTGCTTTGTGCTGTGGTTTGGCTTTGATTCCTTGAAAACCCCCGGAGGGCGGGGGTTGTGGGGTTGGGGGAGGGGACTGGTTACAATCCTTCCTTTATGGTTTGGGCCACTGGGGTCCTGAATCTACAAACCTCACTGGAAAGCCTTAACCCAGCGGTTCTCAACCTGTGGGTCGAGACCCCTTTGGGGGTCGAATGACCCTTTCACCGGGGTCGCCTAAGACCATTGGAAAACACATATATAATTGTGATTAATCACTATGCTTTAATTATGTTCAATTTGTAACAATGAAACTACATCCTGCATATCAGATATTTACATGATGATTCATAACAGTAGCAAAATTACAGTTATGAAGTAGCAATGAAAATAACTTTATGGTTGGGGGTCACCCCAACATGAGGAACTGTATTAAAGGGTCGCGGCATTAGGAAGGTTGGGAACCACTGCCTTAACCACATGGTATTGTCGATTTCACCGTTTCGAGACTCTTAGAAACACTAAATACATAATAATTGGGAAAGTTACATTCTGAGACCCCCCAAGATCACAAGGAATGGGGTGGGGCGGGGGGCGGGTTGGCGGTGGCCCATCAGATCCCGGGCTCTAGAACTGAGTTCAGGAGCGCTGTCTCCCTTGAAATTGGGGATGGGATGGCCCAGCCAGGGTGGCTCAGTGGTTGAGCACTGACCTACGAAGCAGGAGGTCACAGTTCAATTCCCGGTCAGGGCACATGCCAGTGGGGGGCGTGCAGGAGGCAGCCCATCAATGATTCTCTCTCCTCGTGGATGTTTCTATCTCTCTCTCCCTCTCTCTTCCTCTCTGAAATCAATAGAAACTTAATAAAATAAAATAAAAAAATATTGGGTACAGACAATACAAGAGGGAGAGGGCAGGCCGGTGAGAAATCGTTGCTCCTGACTCCAGTCGCAATAACAGGGTGGCTCTGCCCACCGCGGGGTCACCGGCCCAGCGTCGGGGCGTCACTGGAGTCATGTGCACACAGGCAGGCCCAGGAGAGGGGTCTGGATGGGCCTTTGCAACCCAAACCGCAGGGCCACTTTCCTCCCTCCGGTGGCGTAGGAGGAGGCAGGAAATCCTCAGGAAAGGAGGGATGATCATTAAAAACTAAAGTCGCCCTCGCCAGCTTGGCTCAGCGGACAGAGCACTGGCCCTCGGACTGAAGGGTCTCGGGTTCAATTCAGGTCAAAGGCACATACCTAGATTGCAGGCTTGATCCCCAGCCCAGTCGGGGCGCGCGCGGAAGGCAACCAATGGATGATTCTCTCGCACATCGATGTTTCTCTCTCTTTCTGTCTCTCCCTCTCCCTTCCACTCTCTCCAGAAATCAATGGAGAAGTAGCCTCAGGTGAGGATTAACAACAACAAAGAAACCTTGGCTTGTGCCGCCTACCAAGTCACTGTCCTCTTCTAATCCAGCCCCTCTGGACAATTCCTCTTCTTCTGAAACAGCTTCCGAACTGTGTTCTCTACTGGCGGCCAGTGGTCACCCACCCGAGCCGGGAAGGTGAAGACGGGGCGGTGGTGTAAAGGAAGCCGCCAGGCCAGCGGCACGAAGGAGGGACAGACAGCGGGACCGTGGCCTAGACACGGCCACGCTCGCTAGCCCTCTCACAGCGTGTTCATGGCCTTCCCCGCAGACCTGCTGTGTCGTGTGCAGGGTATGAGGGAGAGCGGCTCGCACAGGTCCCGAGAGACAAAGGCACGTAAGCCGACAGCAGGTGAGTGAGCCCAGCAGCCTGCCCGGACAGGACAGGACAGGGCGGCCCCAGTACCTTTGAGGGAGGAGGCGGCTGGCTCGGATTTCCAGCCCTCGGGGTTCAGGCCCAGCAGCGTGGCGAAGCAGTCGGACAGCTCCTCCTCCGTCATGTGCTCCCCTGGGCATCGGAAAGGAAAAAGGTGGCTGGTCAGCTAAGCCAGATGTCAGAGCTTAGCATCAACACTGCGAGGTCTGAAAGAGAATTACTCCACAATTTCCTTCTCTTTTATAAAGAAAAGAATATATATATATATATATATATATATATATATATATATATATATTCATTTCAGAGAGGAAGGAAGAGATAGAAACATCAATGATGAGAGAGAAGCATTGATTGGCTGCTTCCTGCAACCCCCTACCCGCACTGGGGACTGAGCCCGCAACCTGGGAATGTGCCTTGACCCGGAATCGAACCATGACCTCCTGGTGCATAAGTCGACGCTCAAACACTGAGCCACAACGGCCAGGCACGATTTCCTTTTCTAAAGCCCTTTCTCAGTTGGTTGGGCATCGTCTGGTGCATCGAAAGTTGCCAGTTCCATTCCCAGTCAAGGCACATGCCCAGGTTTTGGGCTCTATTCTTAGCAGGGGGCGTGCAGGAGGCAACGGATCAATGTTGCACTCTCCCCCTCTCTCTAAAAATCAACTTTAAAATCTTTAAAAAATATATATCTAGAGAGTCCCATGTTGCTGCCACATATACATCCTCACATGGTGTTAAAAATGGGACTCCCACAGGGGACATTCTTTGGGGCTTGTATGGAGACATCAGACAACTTTCTGATCGAGACTGCCCTCGGCTTTACTTCGAACTCCCTCACAACCCTCGATCCCCGGGTTTGACTAAGATAAAACGATCACCCACAGAGAGAGCTCGCTTGACTTCCTCACATAAAATAATGGGGAAAATAGCAGGGGAAAAGGAAAAACATTTATTTCACAACTGCGCCTCATCATCGCCCCGTGGGATAGATGGCTGGCACTTGTCAGGTGGGGACAGGGAACCTCGAGGTGTCAGTCATGGGGGCACGACGGGCCTTCTTCTGGCCTCCAGGTCAGCATCCTTCCCGCTGCCTCACGTTTGCTAAGCGCATCCTGTCAAGTTAAAGATGCTGGAGGGGGATGGTCCTGTCTCCCCAGCTCGCCTCTCTCCGGGGGGCGTGGCCCAAGGGCCTGCGAGATAACCCTATTTGTGGGTTCACCTTTAGTTAGAAGCAGCCTCAGGAAATCCTCTCTTCGAATGGCTTTCTTTCCTTCCGAGTTGGTGTAGCCCAGAATGTCGAAGTTCTTCTGGATGGAACTCATGGTGTAACCAAAAGGTGGCCGGTGGTTAAGGTAAACTTTCAGGAAATCCGGTAAGCTGATTTTGTCAATTACCTCTCCAGTGTCCACATACTCACTAAATTTGATTTCGTTAAACATATCATCGATCTAGGGAAGAGGTAAAAAAAAAAAAAAAAAGCAGAAAGGCAGAAAGGCACCTTTTAAAATTTATATATATATTTTTTTTTAATTGATTTCAGAGAGGAAGGGAGAGGGGATTGAACCCACAACCCAGGCATGTGCCCTGACTGGGAATGGAACCATGACCTCCTGATTCATAGGTCGATGCTCAACCACTGAGCCATGCTGGCCGGGCTGGCACTTTTCATATATTCTGAAAATCAGAGGGTAACAGACAAATGTGTGTTTTGTGGGGTTTTTTATTTTTCATTTTTTATTCAATTTATTGAGGTGATACTGGTTGACAACAGACAAATGTTCACAGTTTAGATCATGTCTGTTATGGGGTTGATTTTTTGCAAATTTGATTATATATATATATATATTTATATATATATATATATATATATATATTTATATATATATATATATATATATATATCCTTTCTTACCTTTAACACTGTCTTAGTACCCAATATTTTCAAAGAAACCGCATATTCTCAATGCGACATTCTGGGAATGATCTTTTGAAAATGTTACATCATTGGTGAGGATACCAATGAACTATAATTGCTAGTATAAAAGTAGCTTTAAATGGTAACACTGTTTCATATATAGCATTTAGGGAGCTTATATTATACACAATCGCATGTTAGATTACGTATAATTTTATCTATAAATAAGACACTATCCTGGAGCACATTCTTTACATAATGTACTATGTAATTTTAAGTGTTATTATATACACATGCTTCTACTCACTGAGCCAGTGGAGACTGGGGCTGTACGTATGATCTTTGATGACAGACCGAAGTTCAAACCCTGGGTCTGCCACTTTCTACGTGACCTGGGGGAGTAACTTAACATTCCTCACTCTCGGTTTTCTCATCTTGGAAAAAGGGTGTGATATGGTAAAACATCTGATCGGACTGTTTTGAAGCTAACTGCGACCCTGTGTGTAAAGTGCTAAACGTCATGCCTCGCACATAACAAGTACCCAACAAGCAGCAACTACTCCTGTGGTTATGCTTTGTTGTTTTGTTTTGTTTTTAATCCTCACCCGAGGATATTTTTCCACTGATTTTTAGAGAGAGTGGAAGAGAGAGGGAAAGACAGAGAGAAATATCAATGTGAGAGAAAAGCATCGATTGGTTGCCTCCTGCATGAGCCCCGACTAGGGCCCAGGCCAGGAAGGAGTCTGCAACAGAGGTATGTGCCCTTGATTGGAATCGAACCCGGGATCCTTCAGTCTGCAGGCCGATGCTCTTTCCACTGAGTCAAACTGGCTAGGGCCTGTGGTTATGCTTTGTATGTCCTTGCCAGTTACATGTAATTATAATCTATATATACAAAAGCTTAAGTGACCGTTCGACCTTTCAACCGTTCAACCGGTAGCTATGACACGCACTGTACATCAAGGGGCAGATGCTCAACGCACAGGCATGGAAACATGGAACAGACTGATGAATCTCAGAGGGAATGGGGAGGAGGGAGGATGGGAAGAGATTAACCAAATATCTTATATGCATACCAGAGGCCTGGTGCATGGATTCATGCACCGGGGGGGTCCCTTGGCCTGGCCTGTGAGGACCAGGCCGAAACAGGCAGTCTGACATCCCCTGAGGGGTCTCGGATTGTGAGAGGGCACAAGCCAGGCCGAGGGACTCCACTGGTGCACGAATCCATGCACTGGGCCTCTAGTATAATATAAATTACACTTTGTAAGTACATAAATAATGTAAGTGATACATGTAAAATATAAATGTGATATATGATCTGACTCAATTCAGAAACAGGAGACTAACCCAAAGATAACCCAAAGGAACCCAAAGGTGCCTGAAGTCACTCGTGCCCAGAGCAGAGCACGGCGTGTCCTCAGCGTGATCCACTGCATGGGGATTCACCTCTTACTCCTCCCCTGCTCAAGGGGCAGAGCTGGCAGTTTCGGCGTCACTGACATCTCTTCCCCGAGCCTACTCTGCAAGTGGTAGGTGAGAAGGCAGGTTCTGCCGCGTGTCGAAACAGAGTTCATGCTTGGAGAGGAACCTCAGAGACGGAACCGGAACACCGAGTGCCTTCCCGATGCCCCAGCGTGAGGCTGCCTGCCCGGGGCGCCTGGCTGGCCTGTGCTGACATTCTCTCACGGGCCCACCCTCCGCTAAGGCAGTGGTTCCTCTGATTCACCCGGAGGGCTAAAACGTCCTGATGCCCAAGTCCCATCCCCAGAGATGCTGATTTAATGGGCGTGGGGTGGTGTTATGGTTTTTATTTTTATTTTGTTGTTGTTAATCCTCACCAAGGATATTCTTTCCATTGATTTTTATTTACTAGTGGCCCAGTGCACGAATTTGTGCACATTGAAAGGAAATTAATTAGAAGAAATATTTTAATATCGCTATTCGCCCTTTCTCAAGAATAGAAGTGTCAACCAAATTCACGATTGACAATGACAGATCAAAACACATGTGTGTGATTGGTGCCAGCAAGAGCTTTATATGTATCACACACGCACAAGTCAACTTAGCCTTTTCTATATATAGAATAAACCTGCTTTCTGATTTAGCTAAACTTTTTCCAGTCCAGTAAAGCACCCCAACTTCTCTTTCAGATAATTGCCAGCAACACAGCAGTAAATATCAACATGAAGCAGATTATTATTATAGATCACGCAGGGAGAACAAAGGGTAAAACATTTAACTGCAGCAGCGTTTGACTCTATTCTGCGCAGTGAGAAAACCTGAAGTCATTTTCAAGGTCCACCATTTCTTACTTCTTTTCAGTCGGGTCAAGTTTCTAAGCTTTCTAAATCGCCGTTTCCCGGCTAATGAAAAGAAAAGGATTCCACCGAGTCTCCTATCTACCTACTGCAGGACTTCTGTGAGGATCAAACGAGATGAGGCACAGGAAAATGCTTCACAGACATTTGGTTAAAGTGTAAAATGTTTCCACCTGGCTATAAAGCAAGTCGTGTTCCTGGGCTGAAGAAACTGCAAGGAGACTAGTTGCTAGGGAGAGGAAGCCGGGTGTTGCTATGTGACATAATTATCTGGACAGACACTTAGCATGTTAGCCTTTCATATATAGAGATTTTCCATTGATTTTATTGATTTCAAAGAGGAAGGGAGAGGGAGAAATAGAAACATCAACGATGAAAGAGAATCATTGATTGCCTGCCTCTTGCACACTCGCTACTGGAGATTGAGCCCGAAACCAGGGCATGTGCCCTGACTAGGAATTGAACTGTGATCTCCTGGTTCATAGGTCGACACTCAACCACTGAGCCACACGGGCCGGACTCCTTGATTTTTAGAGAGTGGAAGCGAGGGAGGGCAGGGAAGGGCTGAGGGTGGCCAGAGAAGGTGCCGGGTGAAAAGGCAAGCAGGTCGCTGGCCTGGCTCCCCCACGCTGCCCATCCAAGTGGGAAACTCCGAGAAGTCCAGAACCCTCATTAGAACCAGCCCGTGCTAAAGGGGAGAACAGTCAGGGCAGGTATGTTATTCAACAGCTTTTAAACATTAGACACCCACTGCTGCTCGGCCCGTGACACGAGGGCAGCCTGTGCCTGGTGGCCGGAGCCCCTGGCCCAGGATGATTTCACGGCCGCCTCTGACATCCACCCCACAGGCCTTCGGGCTGGTGATCCTGCCGCCGACCGCAGGAAGCCCCTGATGTCCTCAGAACCATGCTTCACAAGTAAGCTTTACAGCCTCCCTGCTGACAGGAGGGGTCACCATGCATCTGCACAGAGGCCACCTCTCGCTTCTGTAAACGGCGCCTGGTGAGCCGGGTTCTTCTTTGACAGTTCCACAGACTCCGGGAGGGCTCTCCTCCTCCTTCCGCCCACTTCCGGTGCACAGAGCTCTCGGGAACGTGCTCCGCAACAAGGAGACAGTCTTCTGTCACAGCATCACCTTCGTGTTGCCGCCCAGTACTTCTGCGCTGACCTGGGGCAGGCGTCAGGGGTGGGCAGGGCCAGGACACAGTCACATCTGGAGACACCCCTGCTATTTCTGCCTCATTGTGTGACTCACAGCTGCCCTCTGCTTCCGCCAGTAACCACATCTGGATGGCAGCTGCCTCTCTGTCCAGGGACACGCCACGGAGCGCCAAGTCCTGCCCACTGGGCGCAGTCGCCTTTAGTGCCCGGCCACAGAGCTGTCTCCCTGTCGTCTGTGGTGGGTGACTCAGAGATGAGGCCACCACCCAATCACAGGGCCCTTCCTGGTGACCTTCTCCCGGCTGCTCATCAGAGCCCGGGCCTCAAACACCGCCGGGACTCCTCCCTGCCCCACGTGAATGTTTTTAAAGGTTTCCAAATCAGAAGGACGAGTCCTTCATCTTGTTCCAAACCCACAACCGAGGGTTGGGGAGGGGCCTGCAGCTCTCCGAAATCTCGATCCTGCCTTGCAGCTGCACCCAGAAATAGTGTTGATAAAGGACACTGGTATTCAGACCTTATAACACAGAAGTCCATACCTGAAACCTGTGTGATCCTAGTAACCAAGGCCACCCCAACCAATTTAAATAAATAGAGGAGATAGATGATGGATGGATGGATGGATGGATGGATGGATAGAGAGATAGGTAACAAACACTGGCAGTTCCTCAAACAGTTCACCATGGAGTCACCGCTGACGCTGCCATATCCCTCCCAGGTGTGCACGCAAGAGAAGTCAAAACACGCCTCTACCAGTACACAAAGACATGTACGCAAATACTCATGACAGTGTTACTCACAGCAGCCAAAAGGTGGAAACAGCCAGGTGTCCACCAGTTGATGAAGGGAAAGAAATAAGATGTGCCCTGCCCATATGAATGAATAGAATATGATTCAGCCATGAAAAGGAATGCAGGACTGAGTCACGCTACAACGTAGGGGCACCTTGAAAACAGTGAGAAGTCCTGGCCGGGGGGTTCAGTTGGTTGGAACGTCATTCTGTACTCCAAAAGGTTGTGGGTTCGACTCCCAGTCAGGGCACATACCTAGGTTGCAGGTCTGATCCACAGTCAGGGAGCATATGGAAGGCAAACAATCAATGTTTCTCTCTCTCTCTCCCCCCTCCTCTCCCTTCTCCCCCCTTCCTCTCTCTATCTAAAAATCAATAAAAACATATCCTGGGGTAAGGATTTAAAAAATTAAAATAAATATGTGTGTGTGTGTGTGTGTGATTTAAAATATGAATAACCATTTAGCCTGTGCAGAGGGATTATAATTGCTTTCTTCATTCCACTTATATATCTTTTCCGATGTGTTAACATTTAAAATCAGGAAGAAACCCAATCATTGCATTTTTAAGAAATATGTTCTTATTGATCTCAGAGGAGGAAGGGAGAGGGAGAGAGAGCTGGAAACATCCATGATGAGAGAGAATCATGGATGTGCTGCCTCCTGCACACCCCCCACTGGGGATTGAGACGGCAACCCTGGGCATGTGCCCTGACCGGGAATCGAACAGTGACCTCCTGGTTCACAGGTCAATGCTTAACCACTGAGCCACACCGGCCGGGCTCAATAGCATTTTAAACCACAGTTTCTCTGGGGAACATTCTCCCTGGGAGTGTCGCTGGTGCCCCTGTGGAGCTCCCCCCCCCCACCCTACAGCTGGGGGTGCTTAGTGAGGTCATGCGGAGATGACATTGTCTGAGCCCCACCTCCCAGAGGCACCCCATCCCCCACGGGCCAGATTAGCAGCAGCCCCACGGGGAAGAACTGTCACTGAGGTCTTCCTGCACCGAGTGCTTCTCAGGCATCGCCTCCTTGGTCCTCCCCGCCCGGGCCAGCCCCGCTGACTCCCAGGCCCTCGCTCTGACCAGTGCACCCCCTTGGTGGTGAGGAACCTGTCTTTTAGGAACATCTGCAGGGGAGGCTGTTCTAAGGAGCTTGTCTGCTCTCCCAGAACCTTCCTCCTGAGCCACTTACGCAAGAACCATGTTCAGGGCTTCACGCTGACCGAGCTCGCTGTCTCGGGGCCGGT